AGTGATTACTTGTTTAAACTTTTATTAATAGGAGATTCTGGTGTTGGAAAGTCATGTCTTCTCCTGAGATTTGCTGTAAGTGTTTTAATCTCCCTCAGTTATTATCTTGCTTTGAGTGATTAAGGTACACAATAGAATATGGACTAAAACTAGGAAATTGCATTTTCCAATTTATACTAGTGCCATTTCCATGAGACTTTCAATTAGTGGGGATGGTCGTTGCTGAGTTAGGTTGAGCCAATAATATTTCGTGACTATTCTTTTTGTGAAGTTGCAGTTCTATTTTTATTTACTTTTAAGTTGACATGAACGGAGTTGTTCTCTTCTACATGTTTACTTATAGCATGTTTGATTTGGGAGGTAAAGAGGAAGGATGGGAGGAGATGAAATTAAAGAGATGGGTAATGATTTTGTTTGTTGGTGAGGAGGTAAAAGAGGTAGGTAAGCAAATGGTCATCCTCTGCATGCCAGCCTTTTGAACCCTTTGAAATTTGATGAGGATGAAGAAGTATAATATTTTTATCTTCATCCTAAATATACCAAAAGCTGGAAGTAAACAATGAATATTCCACCGAGCCCCTATGGCTTTGGTCTAATGGTAAGAGAGTAGATGTGATGTGTGGGTTAGGTGCACGTATCTGTTCGAGCCCTGTTTTTTACAAAAGTCTTGTATATAAGTAGAGAAGGGTAGAGGGTTGGGCCATTATCTACCATGTTTCAAAACTTGCTCCAGTAGCCCCGAGGATTTCTCTGTTATAAGAAAAAATGAATATTCCATCTAAAATTCTGTCCGTTATCCTTCCTTCCGGTTTCTATTGTGGAACCAAACTTGATGTGCCGAAATAACCGTTGGATCAGAAACTGGCCATTTAATTTACGTTCTCTTTAATGTCTGACTAATTATAAACTGTAAGAACAGTATGTTTGGGCAGTTTGGGTTGACATATTGCCAATTTGTAATATTCAGCATTTGTTTGCGGCATTGCAATTTAGTTGCTCTGCAATTCTTTTGCTTTGTGTACATTTCCAGATTTTGCTATGTCTCTGTTGACTAACTGATTTATTTTTGTATTTAGTTGCTTTTGAAGTTTGTTGTGCTTTCTGAAAGGACTGTTTTATATTTCTAGGTCCTGGTTTTTCTTGGCTAATTTATCTGAGTTTGAGTTATCATCTTTTGATGCAGGATGATTCTTATTTGGACAGTTACATCAGCACAATTGGTGTCGACTTCGTAAGGCCAATTTCATCCCACGCACTCAGAAACATATGTGTCTATTTGTTCTTTCTGACAGAGGGAAGTTTGTATAACATGGTCACTTTCTTTTTTGATATCTGTATTACTTTTCTTGCAGAAAATACGCACTGTGGAGCAAGATGGGAAGACAATGAAACTTCAAATTGTATGGGTTCGCTTGTCATCTTTTCTGTTTCCTTGGGATTTGATAATGTTTTATTCCTGTCATTACATTCTATCAGATCATGGGACACAATGTGGATTGATAGTTCAATTTTGGAAGTACTCTCTGCCTGATGATTTTTTTAAAGAAAATGCATGTTGTGTTCATAGCCTCTTGGTTCCTTTATTTTGTTATTTACTTATTAAAAAAAGGTTTTCTCATAAATAAATAAAAAGCAATGTAATCAAACATAATCTGCATTATATTTGAAATTCTATTATTCAGTGATTAGTAGTGCTGAGATTGAGCTATAGTCGACCATTAAGTGATGAACCTGACTTGCAGTTTTGTTAAGATACCATCATTGTAGATATAAGTCCTGAAATTTGAACTGTTGATGTATATAGTGCTGGTGATCCCAGTATGTGGGCATACTTTTACTGTTTTGTTATTGTTTAAGTGGATGTAAAGTCCTCTTTTCTGTCTCGTATTGGCCAGTGGGACACTGCTGGACAAGAGCGCTTCAGGACGATTACCAGTAGTTACTACCGTGGGGCACATGGCATCATTGTAGGTTTCTCTTCTCTCCTTTTTAGAACTATTAACAGGTGGATTTTGTCTTTTTGGCTCGGTAAAATAGTTCCTCCAACCACTATTTTGGTGATTCTGGCAGATAGTTTATGATGTAACTGACCAAGAAAGCTTTAACAATGTTAAGCAATGGTTGAGTGAGATTGATCGTTATGCGAGTGACAATGTAAACAAGCTTCTGGTTGGAAATAAGTGCGACCTGGCTGACAACCGTGCTGTGTCTTATGATACAGCAAAGGTGATGATTTTGCTTTCCGTTCATTTACCTTTTGAGTTCTCTGTTAAGTGCGTCATTTTCTACGTGACTGAAATAGCTTTTGGTTCACATACAAAGGCATTTGCTGATGAAATTGGTATTCCATTCATGGAGACTAGTGCAAAGAATGCCACTAATGTTGAGCAGGCGTTCATGGCAATGGCAGCTGACATAAAGAATAGGTATTTTCTGCGTCTTATTTTGGTTTATTTATTGCCTTTTAGCAGTTAGAGTGGCAGTGAAGTAAGTTTATCTGTTTCTGATTAGGCCAAACTGAGTTGATATCTCCCTAACATAATGTTGTTATTGCCATTCCGGCAGTCTAGCTTGTTTCCGGAGATATGTTCTCAAATTCTGCTGCTTCATGTGTATTTAGGTCTGTCTTTGTTTCGTTAATGATTATCATTGTCTAATACAGGATGGCAAGCCAACCAGCATCGAATAATGCAAAGCCTCCAACAGTGCAGATACGAGGTCAACCTGTTTCCCAGAAGAGTGGTTGTTGTTCTAGTTAGAATCACTTTTCAGGCCTTCTTTCTGGTTGCGTTGTGCCAGTTATATTCTTTTAATCTGCCAGTATTCTGGTGGCCTGTACAAATCATAAGGGTTGCTCCTTAGGATTTTTCTTTCCTCTTTGATATTTTTATTAACTGGGGTTCAAAGTTGCAATGTTGGTTTCTGCTGTTTTAGGCAGCTGTTTCATAAGTTGGTTTTTAAGATGGGGATAGTGAGAATTGTAATGCAGTTGTACTATGTTTCACCTTGACTATGATTCTCTTTAAATAAGTTGCTCTGCAAAAGTGTTCCTATTTTAGATTCTAAGTTTCAACCACTTGATAAACACTACTCATATTATTCTTGATAAAACATCTCTTTTTACGTAAGCTTTGTTTTTAAGTAAAAATGTCATGGGGTGCCCTATTTGGTCACCCCCATTTAACTTGTACCCACTTTTAAAAAATGTTTAACTGATACACAACTTTTGGATAACTTCAGATACCCATGCTTTTCTTTTCTCCGCTGCTGCTTTCTTCTTCTCTGTATTCATGATGTCACATGTATCCAGGAGCTTTGCTGTTCATGTGCCATGTATCCAGGAACCGTTTGGTTTCTTCTTATTCTTAGTTGCAAAATACCATTGTAGGTTGTGCTTAGGATTTTTTTTAGTTGCAAAATGGGTTTGTTAGATTTGTTGTGGTTTGACAATTTGATGATTGTGGTTTGTTCTTTTATGATATTTGAAAGTTATGTTTTAAAGTTAAGCTCACTTGGAGTAGATTTGGACGTTGAATCGTGTGTTGAATTGTTGAAAATCGAAGAACAAGTTTATGTTTTAGAACTTAAGATTCGATTTATGAAGTTGTATCGAAGAGATAGAACTACTTCAGTTCCGAGTTTTCTGAAGTTGAATTGAAGAGATAGAATGGTAAATTTCTGTAGTTTTTTGTATAATGCGGGTATAACTGCAATGGCGGTTCCAACAGTGGTGTATATGTGAAAATGCCCCTTTGTTTAAACTATTAAATTCTATTTATTTTGAGAAGCATATTTATTAAAATAAAATTTTAAAGTACTTTGGTAGTGTACCCGTGTGTACTTGTTTAAATCATTAAAGAAATTCTCTCAGTAGGATTTTTCCTAAAAAAAAATACTTTTTGCCTACAAGTTACGAAAAAAAATACACATATAAAGACATGATTTATAAATGTAAAAAGCCAAATTTGTTCTTATGTTGATTTTTGGTTTATTCAGAGACAATATGGATAAAGCTAAATACAAAATATTAGACTATTTTCTTATACATACATGAGGGATTACACTCTTTTTTCATGTTGTCTAACTTAAGTTCTAGAATAATTTTTGGAAAAGAGATACCGAACAGTTTGAAAATTTGTTAAGTTTTTTTTTTTTTTTTTTCCTTTTTGTTAATTATTTTTTATGGTGGTATTCTTAGGGATGACGCTATCCCCATTTCTTAAATTTATATCCATAATAATAATCCTGTTTCTCAATTTGTTAACAAATAATCTTTGACTTTATTTAATGCAAGTGACTCTCTCATACATGGTAAAAAACCAAAATTTACTAGTTTGCCAGCAAGGATACTAGTGAATAAACATAGGGTGAGTTGTATTTTCCTTTCATGTTCCGATCCTTTGCACCCAAGTAACACTTAAAATATCCTAATTAAGAACTCTTTGTTCCTACGGAGTCGATGATTATCCTTCCGTATAGATATTGCGTATGTTATTTTATATTTTCTTTCTTTAATTACAGGAAAAATCGAACCAAAATTACAAATATTCCTTTTATATTTTGTTTTCAAACTAGATCTCAAAAATTGGATTGCTAGATTAAAAGTAAGAAAAATATTAATTAACTTTGATAAATAAGGAGTTACTTCACCGGTATCCAATGGATTTGATTCCATATATATCCTATAGAAGATTAATTATGAATATAACTGATCCCAAAATAAAAGAGGGAAAAATTTATTATTTATGTAAAGTAGGAGTAGTATATGTAAGGAAAAATAAGTAAAGGTTAGAAATCTTTTTTGAAACTATTTAAAAGGTAAAACTTACACGGCAAAATGATTGGTAGAAGCTATAAATATGCAATCTCTTTAGTTCAATCCTATTTGTATTGCCAAGAATTCGAGAAAACCTCGTCTTATAGTAACGTACGCTTTATAGTAGAATTGAATACAACCACCACATTATATTAATTTAATTATATTATATGTTGAAGAAAAACAACATATAGACATATAGAAAAACCCTTGGGTGAGTATCTAGCATGACAAAAGATGCAAGGAAGTGCTCTCATTGTGGGCAGAATGGACACAAATCAAGAACATATAATTATAATTCAAAAGGAATCAAATTATTTGGAGTTAGGATCGACGATACGACTAATAATAATCACCATGTTGATACAAAAATGAAGATGAAGATTGGAGATCATGAATCAGCCATAAGAAGGAGCAAAAGTCTTGGTAATCTTGAAATTCATGACCACAATGCCGTCGTTGACGCTGGCTATCTTTCTGATGGGCCAAGAAATAGTAAAAAAGGTTTGTCAAATCTTCATCATCATTTCTTTATCTTATATATTTTTTATATACTAATTGGTGTCTAAGTCGAATGTAGTTCAACATCTACTATATATGTAAATGTGATTAGTGTCGCCTTGCCGAACCCTCATAAAATAGATTCTTTGTATTGTTTTCTCAATCACGAATCATGCACGTCTTTTTTTCTTGAGATTATAACTATACTATATAGGTTTGTATAAGCCAGAATTCTTATAGTTGTAATTTTATTTTCTGATAGGAACATCATGGACAGAGGAAGAGCACAGATCTTTCTTAATTGGCTTAGAAAAGCTTGGAAAAGGTGATTGGAGAGGAATTTCAAAAAGTTATGTGCCTACAAGGACTCCATCCCAGGTGGCTAGCCATGCCCAAAAGTATTTTATCAGAATCGCTTCAAATGATAAAAAGAAACGTCGGCCTAGTGTCTTTGATGTCAATCTAAGAGATTCGGTAATATTTTAATTATATTCTCCTTTTTTGCTTTCTTTTCTGTTCTATGTATTATACTGATAGGAATTTGTAAATTTGCAGAATTCACAGATTCCTTCTAAAACTTCTTCTTCTTCTTCACCTTCTATCTCAAAAAACATGGTTCCTGAAGTCCCGAAAGAGGTAAGTCTATAATCTCGATGCGACATAAAATAACATATAATTAGGTTATTAATTAAAATGGCTGTGTTTATTGGACAGGCGAGTGCCCCATTGGAGCAACTGTTCGACACTTGCCAAATTAAAGGACAGGTACGTAAATTACAGATAAACTGTAGTTCATATGGATTAAATTAAATTATTTAGAATGACTAAAATAAAGGTTATTTTTTTAATTAATACTATAAGTTAAAGTCATAGTCGTAACAATTATATATGTGCAGGCTGCTCCGTGTGCAAGGCCCCCACTTTCACCGATGACTAGACCCTTTGGAGTCCCTGACTTACGCCGCATGCCTTATTTGGTAAGAGGGGAGAATTACATACTCCATATACTTTGGACAAGAAAATTTATTTTTGTTGATTTAGGAAATGAATAGAAAAGTTGAGAGTAAGATCTTAATGTTGATATCACTAACCACAAATGAACTATTTCTAATCCTATTGTGAAAACACAATCGACGACACTTCACAAAAAACTTCTCTTATAGTATACAATAGGAAAAAAAAAAATAGAATATCAATTTGGAGTAGAAAGTGTAGACACTGAAATTTTAACAATACAAGATAAATTCTAAATTCAAGACAACTCTTGAAATTAGGAGTCTATTAGGGTTACTTGGCTGCTTCTCCACCCAAACCCTAATTCATGCCTATAAATAAGGCTACATATGTCTTTCAAAGACGATGTCAACAAATGCATATTCTCGGAATATGCATAAAGAGATCAAATATGAGATTTCCGAAATTCCATGAAGCTCTTGGAATATTCATTAAGAGATCAAAGACATGTCAAATATGTCTTGCTTAAAGTCTTACGTTCAAGAAATACAGCTAAGGCCCTCGAATCACGTAGAATAAATCGAAGGGAAGAATAAGGGATAAACAGAGTTGTAATTTGTAATGTTTATTAATAAAATTCTTTTTTTCTTTTTCTTTTGTAGTTGTTTGTGATTGCAGTTTTATTTTTCTCTGCAAACAGAAAGTAAACCCCTTCAGAAACGAAATAGATTAGATATAATAGAGCACAAACTTAAGAAATTGTAGTTCTTCGTACGACACTACTTGTCTAATATGTTATGACATTGTCTTGTGTATACAGATGGGTGTACCCAGGGGCCTTACAGCAGCCAAAGTAATAGCACCTACAGTCTCTTGGGTTCCTGTATTCAATTTCCCACCTAATCAAAGCCATCTAAATTACCGATTTGCTCCTTTTGTGGCACGGCCACCTACTACTGGTCTATTGTCACACCTACCACCGCCTCCTCAGGTTCAATCTCAACCAGGGCATTCAACTCCAGTCACAAATAACGATGGTTTAAACATCAGTATTGGAGCACTTTGAGTTTTATTTTTTAAGTCATTCTTTACAAAAGTTGGGCAATTTTTGGGTCGTTCTTTTGCCTAGCTACTTTTTGCTTTGCTTTATTTATTGAGGTAAAGAGAATAGAAGTTGATTGTTGATTTATAGTGATTGTTCTTATGTTTTCTTGTGGATTCAATAATTAGCAGTTTTGGGTGGATTTTCAGTATTATATTGAATGATGCATTTTGACATAATTAAATTATCATACAGAAATTAAATAATTGCACAAGATGTCCTGTACTGGAATTATATTTTGTTTGACTAGATGTGACCGAATCTTTCTATGCTTGATTCCTCAAGTTATAGTTGATACTAATGATTCAATTAACAGCTTAATTAAATTAACATTCCACCGTACCGAATAGTGGTAGTGGTGGCAAACTGGTTAAAAGTAAACAGTTATCTATTCATATTATTTACTAAAAAATAAGTTGGATAATAAACTTTTTAAAAACAGGTCAAATATGGATAAGAACCATATTATCCACTTAGAAAATAGATAACCAATGGATAGTTAATGGGTTTAACTTTTACATTTGTAAAGTCTCAAATTGGGGGTTCCTCAAATTTAGGAGACTAGGAATTTTCCCAAAAGTGATTATATTCAAGAAACCAAGGATAATATGGATATCCACATTATCCGCCGGTTAGCTCATTTTTTATCCGTATGGGTTAGGTCGGATAATTTATTCTTTTTTTATTATACATTTTTGACCCCCCCATATCCAACCCGATACCACCTGTTTGCCACCCCCTTCTAATTGGTATTTATCTCCAAAATATTTGGAGATACACATGCAAGGTTGCTTGTTACTAGTATAGTTATTTACTCGTAAATCGGTACAGTTGAATTTATATGTGATTTATAGACAAGTTAATTAATTAGATTCGATAATTAAATTAGATAAAAATATAATACTTAGCCTTGAGATGGAGATAAAACAGCAGAGAACGTAATTTCAGACACAGAGCTTCCGGAGGCAGTAAGAACAATACAAATAAGCAAGAAACTAAAATATTATTGAGCCTTTGATAGAATATGGTGTATGCTTGTCAGGAAATTCGTCGCGTTTACAGTGATGGTAAAGCTCACTATTTATAGTTACACCGAGGGAACAGAGTCCTAGGATCAAGCCTCTCTTAAATGACAATTATGAGGGCCATTGAAGAATGTGTAACGATAGTCAGTGAATGCCATTTTCTTTGTAACGGACCATGCACTTAATGCTATAGAATATTCTTCATTGAATGCTACCGGGTGGTAGACATTCATTTTGCCTTTATGAATATCATTCTTTCCGACGGCAAGCGGGCTCATTGCCTCCGGGCCCGGCTGTCTTTTATCTTCGGCTCCACGTCGCTTTCTCATGCGATCATAAAATATGAACATATTTCACGCTAAACAGATAGTCCCGCCTTACAGTGGCATAACTTTGTGTCATCGGGAAGTTGGTAGAAATACCTCTTTTGGCGGAAAATTCTCTGACATTCTCTGAAATGTTTCTGACGGTTGATTAGACGCACGTCTCTCCGCATTTAATGCCCGCACACGCATCACCCCACGATTTAACATCAGTTTTGCTGGTTATCGAGGTAATTATGGCCATGATTTTAGCTGCCTATTCCTTTATACGCATCAAGCTTCTTCATTTACACTTCATAATTCTCCAAACTTTCTCAAACTCTCTTTACTCGTAATTTGTCTTCAACATTTCTTTAACCTTCGTCTTCTTCATAGAAACCCTTACTTTCTATTATGATAAAAATGGCTTCTTCTTCTAGAAATCCTAGTTCCTCAAAAAACAAAGGTAAAGCTTATGATGCTGCTTCTCCTACGGTGAGCACCATCATTCCAAAAAGTCTTATCATAACTAAAGACTTCGAGGAGATGTATACTTCTGCTAACCCTCATACGTGGGCCATTGGCGTGTACCCTTCTTCCATCCGTCCTTCCAGTATTCCTGCTGTGAAGGAACTGCCATTGCCATGATTTAGACATTATCGCTTCTGATCTGGCGGAACGGGTAACTTTACCCAAGAAGGGTTTTTACGTATTTTTATATATATATCTCTTCACTTTGGGGCCGTTCTCTTTGAGTGGGGAGCTTGACTCCGTTATTATGGAGTTCTGCATCCGTTACCAGGTGTGCCTGGCACAAGTAAGTCCTTCTGTGTGGAGGACAGTTGGTTGTCTTCGGCGTCTATGCCAGGATACGGGAGAGGAGCTAACCCTATCGCGACTAATTAACTTTTACTCCCCCAAGATTTTTCGCGGGGGAATGATAAATTTTAACAAACGTGGCCACCATGCTCTACTAGCCAACATGGATGATGATAACAACCGTGGGTAGATGGAACGGTTCGTTGCAGTTGCCACCAGGGATATCATTCCAGCCGCGGCTTCATCCTTTCCAGAATTGTAGAACCGTACTTGTAAGGTCATCATTTGCCTCTTCTTTTAGTTAAATATCATCCCATGCTGTTACTGATTCCTCTTATTTCACTTGTTCCAGCAACTCGGTGGGTTCCACCAAGGGTTGAAGGTTTGGACCAGTGAGTCCAGAAGATTTTGGATGTTACTACATCCGAGACCCATATGTAGAAGGAACTGGCCCTTAAATATGGGTAGAAGGCCAAAAATCATGGTAAGTTAGATTCATCTTGTTTTTACCTTTCATATAGGGAAGTTGTTAACCTTTCTCTCTTGTTGAATTCAGGCCTACCCCAGGACTCAGTTGTCGTTCCAATGGAGGACTTTTTGGCTAGTCTGCTGACACGGCGAGGCTGTTGCAGGAAGCTATTACCCGAACAGGTGTCTTCGGGCCTGCTTCTGGTGCAAGTGCTTCTTCTCAGAGTCCCCCGTCGGAGAACAAGAAACCAAAAAGGAGACGTTCCTCCGGCCGGGGGAAAAATAAAAAGGCAAAGAATGTCGTGCCCGAGTCATCTTCGAATGTTGTGGTGATGAGCCCCGCGCCTGAGCCGGCCATAGACACCGTGGTGATCTATGATGATGGAGAAGCCAGTGAGGAGGGGGCTTCTCTACATAGAAGACGACGATCTTTCTTAGCTCAACAGAATGCTCAATCTATTAAGTTAGTTACACCAACCGAGGACGATGCCTTGACACTCTGGGGGGAGTATGATATGATGGAAAATGCTAACTCCCATTTTTGAATCCCAGTCGCCATGCCCAGTACCATGAGGCTGAGTACCGGGTCCTTGCCGTCTTCGGTTGATGAGCAACCAACAACCAGCATTGCATTTGCCACAGCTGCTTCGCCATTAGCTTCATCTCCTTCTTTACCAACTCTGCCTTCACCACCAGCAACTGCTACATCATCTCCACCGGTCGCAGTTGCCCGAGGATGATGTCCCTCTTCCCCAGTCCCCAATTCATGGGAATCTAGGGAAAAATTATGCTGCCCCCTCAGAAGACCCCCAAAGGAGGAGGAGCGTTACCCTCTCGGTTCCTATCGGATGCCATCTATTGTCCCGGCCGGTGGAGCTTGCTAACTATCTGAAGCCTTTGGCTTCAAAAAAAGATAGGGATAATATACAAACTCTTTGGGGAGAGTGTTTGTTGAACAACTCCATGCACAACGCAGCAACGATATATTCTTTATTCCCTCCGTTGTTTCTTCTATCTTTGTTATGGTAGGATTTCGAATTTGCATTTTTGTTTGTAGGCCAACTTCCTTGCTTCTGAGGGCCTTCAGAGGCTAATTCGTGATAAGGAGGAACTTACCTCTAAGCAAGATTGACTTTTAGCCGAGCGAGATCAGACTGTTGCTCGCCTATCCGAACTGAAAGCCCGAGCTGCTGAGGCCGCTGAATTGGATGCTCGGTTGCGGCAAAGCGAGAGGTTGCCATATTAAGGGCACAATTTGAAGAGACTAAGGCCAAATGGGTTGAGGTCCATAATGTCGTTCTTGCTGCATCCGATCGCGAGGCTGCCGTTGTAGAAAAATTGAATATTTTGGAGGCAGCCTTAAAATCCAAAACTAAAAAAGTTACTGCTGCCGAGGCGAAGTATGCCCGGTTGGAGGAGAAGCATAAGAAGACCATCGAGCACAATAGATTTTTCAGCTCCACTGTCCACGAGCTTGACTTCAGCCTCCGGTCCACCAGATCCACGCGAGATAACTTAAAGAAGAACTCTAGCGCCGAGCAGTTTCCCTCGTTGTTGAAAAAATATATGCTATGTATAGCATGACGAGAAAAACCTTGGAATAGGCCAAAGCGGGTGTCATTGACTTTGATACCAAAATTGCTAAGGCCCGTGAGCTGGAGTCAACTGCCAAAAAGGGGTCTTCTGAGCCGACCTGATGCTACCTACTCTTCTAGTTCCGGTTTCGAGTTCTCAGGAACTGAAGAAGAACCGAAAGGATATGAAGGCCAAATGATGATTTCCAAGGTATTTAGCCGACAACGGATCCACCTTTTCTTCCTCCGAATTCTGGAGATGCGGTAGCTTAGTTTTTGTTTTCTTTTCTTTCTCATATTTTTGTACTTGTGCTATTTGGCACGTTTATTGTGAATAGAAACACTTTTTCGTTCAAGTATCGTGCAAGTTTTTCTCTTTGCATACTTTTCGTTTAAGTATTTGCGCAAATTTAGCTTTTTGCATCCTTTTCGTTTAAGTATTCTCGTCAGTTTTCCGCGTCACGATATGCGAGGCTTCCAATGTATTTTTCCCCAGTAGAATTTGGATTCCGGGCATAGGTTCTTCTGAAATCAACCCTTTAATGTGTGGGTTTCATAAGAGAGGGCCCTCTTATGTTTACGGTGCCCTTGAAGAGGAGGACTTATGTTCAATACGACACTAGCATTTGAAGTACTTATTTAACTTTCAAGTGATAAAATAAATTCATCGTTCAGACAAGAAACAAGACAGAAATAAAAGGACTTAACTTTATTCCTTCCATTTTCAAAAGTACATAAGCATTCGTTGTACTCAAAATAAATTGTCATATTTTGTGGCTAACTTGTACAACTTGTTTCTACGGGGATGGCTGCGCAGTCCCCGGTCCTAATAACATATCTATGTTTGATTTTTCGTATTTCAGTCGACGTGGCAGTCATTGTTGTTGTATCTTCATATCATTCCCCCTAGTGTTCAAATGCGAAGAATGAGAATTTGAACACTAGAAGTTTTACACCTTTGAGGATTCCACTAGTGGATTGCTAGATAATCTTCAGTTCGATAGCAAACTTCACTTCCCCTTAGGAATTTATGCCATCGAGCCAAAGATTATCTAACAATTCCCCAGTGGCTTGCACTTGTAAACAGTCGGGTAATCTCTTTTCGACAGCAAACTTTACTTCCCAGTAGGAACTTTGCTATCGAGAAAAAGACTATCTAACCGCTTCGTAGTGGTTCTTTGCTTGTGTGCCTTGTCATTTAAAGGTCTTATTGCTGCTGCTGAAACTTCCTTTGTAGTATGCTTTCCGTTGCTACCTCGTTAAAAACCTTGCCGGAAAAACCTGATCGAGACAAAAACTAGATGAAGGAAAAAAGAGCGCAGCACATACTTTCAGTATAGGTGATGTTTATCAGCAATAGTATCTCTTAGGGTGTGCCACGTTCCAGTTGCTTGGAAACGTTTTTCCATCTTGATTTTCTAACTCGTATGACCCTTTCCTAGTGACAGCTGAAACCCAGTAGGGGCCTTCCCATGTTGGACCTAGCTTCCCCGCATTGAGTTCCCGGGTGTTCTAAATTACTTTTCTTAAAACCAAGTCTCCTACTTTGAAATAACGGAGGTTGGCTCTTCGATTGTAATATCTCTTTATTCTATGTTTTTGGGCTGCTATACTTATATGCGCCAAGTCCCTACGTTCATCGAGCAACTCCAAATTGACTAACATCGCTTCATTGTTTGCCGGAAATACCTCAGGGCAGGTTCTCCTACTTCCCCAGGATCAGGGCTTCTGCCTCATACACAAGAGAGAAAGAAGTCTCCCCCATGCTCGATTTTGCCATTGTTCGGTATGCCCATAGTTTACGTGGCAGCTCTTCGGGCCATTTACCTTTAACTGCTTCTTATCTCTTTTTGTGATTTTGTAAAATCACCTTGTTGGTTGATTCTGCCTGGCCGTTTGCGCTTGGATGATAGGGTGATGATGTGATCATTTTGATTTTCAAGTCTTCAAGAAACTTCGTGATCTTTGCGCCTATAAATTGTGGCTCATTGTCGCAAGCTATCTCTTTTGGTATCCCAAATGCGCAAATTATATTCTCCCACAAGAAATCTACTGCTTCACGCTCGCCGATCTTTTGATAAGAACCTGCTTCAACCCACATAAAAAAATAGTTAGTTAAAATAAAAAAAATATTACCTTACCAGGGGCCAGTGGCAGTGGTCCGACGATATCCATTCTCCACTTCATGAATGGCCATGGTGACAAAACTAAGTACGTTGGATCTGCCAGTTGATGTACCAGCGGTGCGTAGCGTTGACATTTATCACATTTTGAACATAAGATTTGGCGTCTTGTTCCACCGGGGAAAATAGTAACCTGTCCTAATTAATTTTAATACTAAGGAATTTGTGTCTGATTGATTTTCCCAGATCCCTTCGTGGAATTCTCGCATAACATAATTAGCTTTGGAGGCTCCCAAACATTGGGCTAACGGGCCTTGGAAAGATCTTCTTTACAATTGACCCCCTTGAAGCTGTATCGAGCTTCTTTAGTGCGCAATGCCCGAGATGCCTTAGGATCTTCAAGCAATTTTCCGTGCTCGAGATAATCAATAATCTCATTTCTCCAGTCCCAGACCGAATTAGTCATGTTTATCTCGTAATATCTATCCGCGTCATAGTGAATGTATAAGTTGTACTAAACCAAAGTCCGATCCCTTCATCTCTGTGGACGATCCAAGGTTGGCTAGTGCATCTGCTTCTGCATTCTCTTCCCTCGGGATATGTGTAATTGACCACTCTTGGAACCAAGCAAGCAGGACCTGGACCTTCATTACGTATTGTTTCATGCGTTCCTCTTTGGCTTCTAAGATCCCGTAGAGCTGATTTACCACCAACTGGGAGTCGCATTTGATTTCTATGACCTCGGAGTCCAGTCCCCGGGCCGATTCGAGCCCTGCAATCAAAGCTTCATACCCCGCTTCATTGTTAGTCAGAGGAACAGTTCTTATCGCCTGCCTTTAGGGTTTCTCCCGAAGGCGTGGTTAACATTATACCAAGCCCGGACCCTTTCAAATTTGAAGCTCCATCTATGAACAAGGTCCAAACTCCTGATGTCAATTCTGACACCATTACTGCTTCTTTGGTAGCCAGAGTCAAAAGTCCTAGACTGAAATCGGCCACAAAGTCGGCCAAACTTGTGACTTAATTGCAGTCTTGGATTTATATTCTATGTCAATTTCGCTCATTTCAGCAGCCTACTTGGCCAGCCTACACGAGAGTTCAGGTTTATGAAGAATATTCCGCAGGGAAAAAGTGGTCACCACAGCTATCAGGTGGCATTGGAAATAAGGCTTTAGCTTTCGAGCGGCGACTACGAGGGCTAAGGCCAATTTTTCTAGATGTGGATAGCGAGTTTCTGCTCCCATCAAAATTTTACTTGCATAATAAATAGGAGATTGTGTACTTTCATCCTCACGGACTAAAACAGTACTTACCGCTACCTCCGAGATCGCTAAGTAGATTAGTAGTTGTTCGCCTTCCTCTGGTTTTGACAGTAACAGAGGGCTTGACAAATACCTTTTCAGATCCTTCAAAGCCTGCTGGCATTCCGGTGTCCACTCAAAGTTATTACTCATTTTTGAGAAGTGCGAAGAAATGATGGCATTTATTCGAAGATCAGGAAACGAATCTGCTCAAAGCAACTAATCTCCCAGTTAGCCTTTGAACCTCTTTTATGCTTGATAGCTGGTCCGGGATGTCTTCGATGGCTTTGATTTTATCGAGGTTAACCTCGATCCCCCTTCGCGACACGAGGTATCCTAGGAACTTACCGGAGCTGACCCCGAATGCACACTTCTCGGGGTTAAGTTTCATGTTGTGTTTCCTCAAGATGTCAAAGGTCTCTTGTAGGTGTTTCAGATGGTCACCTACGTTCAAAGACTTAACCAACATATCATCTATGTAAACTTCCATAGTTTTCCCTATTTACTTCTCAAACATTTTGCTTACAAGACGTTGATAAATGGCTCCAGCGTTCTTTAGCCCAAAAGGCATCACACTGTAACAATATGTACCAAAGTTCGTTATGAACAAAGTTTTTTCCTGATCCTCCAGGTTCATTTTGATTTGGTTGTACTGGGAGTAAGCATCGAGGAAACTCATCAACTCGTGTCCGGCCGTCGCATCAATCATTTGATCAATGTTTGGCAATGGGAATGAGTCTTTTGGGCATGCCTTATTTAAATCCTTATAGTCTACGCACATGCGAAACTTATTATTCTTCTTTGGAACTACTACTACGTTAGCTAGCCAGTCAGGATACTTAACTTCTCGGATTGAACCGATATCAATCAAGCGAGTTACCTCTTCTTTGACAAATTTGTTTCTGACCTCGGCAATAGGACATTTTTTCTGTCTTACCGGAGGGATGCTGGGGTCCAGGCTTAGCTTGTGCATGGCCACTTCTGGCGGGATACTTGTCACCGCATGCGACCATGAAAAACAATTGACATTAAATTTAAGAAATTCAATAAATCCAGACCTGAGTTCGGGGTGCAGTCCTGTCCCTAAGTGGAACTTCCTTTCCAAGAACTTTTCGAATAATGCGACTTGTTCAAGTTCTTCCGCTGTGGACTTTGTTGCGTCCGTCTCCTCTGGTACCTGGAAATACCTTGGCACCTGATAGGATTCTGACGACTCTTCCCCTTGGTTGACTTCGCTCTTCTTGGGAGCAGGCGCCGGTTCCTATAATTGTTATGCCGCATGCTCCTTCCCTTTATTACTGGAGACTAAGATTGTATTCATCTCCCTTGCTTCCGTTTGGTCACCTCTTATTTGTTTAATTCCCTTGGAAATTGGGAATTTCAGCAACTGATGATATGTTGATGGCACAACCTTCATCTCGTGCAACCATGGTCTCCCCAGGATCATATTGTAACCCATATCGCCGTCCACTACCTCAAAAAGGGTCATCTTCATCACCCCTTTGACATTCGTGGGCAGCGGGATCTCTCCCCGGGTTGTCACGCTTGCCATATTGAACTCGACGGGAAATGGTCAAAGCCACAACTTCAATCCACTTGGAAACATAATCAGCAGCAACCAGAATGTAAGTGTTACCACATGAACTCACAAATGGTCCCATGAAGTCAATGGACCACACATCAAAAATATCAATCTCAAGAATAGTGGTGAGAGGCATTCCATCCTTCTTGGAAATTCCACCCGCCCTCTGACACTCATCACATCTCTTCACAAGCTCACTAGCATCTTTATACAAGGTATGCCAGTAAAATCCACCGCTGAGCACCTTTGAAGCAGTTCTCAGAAAGGGTCGTCTTCATCACCCCCTCGACATTCGTGGGCAGCGGGATCTCTCCCCGGGTTGTCACGCTTTCCATATTGAACTCGACGGGAAATGGTCAAAGCCACAACTTCAACCCACTTGGAAACATAATCAACCAGAATGTAAGTGTTACCACATGAACTCACAAATGGTCCCGTGAAGTCAATGCCCCACACATCAAAAATATCAATCTCAAGAATAGTGGTGAGAGGCATTTCATCCTTCTTGGAAATTCCACCCGCCCTCTGACACTCATCACATCTCCTCACAAGCTCACTAGCATCTTTATACAAGATAGTCCAATAAAATCCACAGCTGAGCACCTTTGAAGCAGTTCTCGCCCCACCATGATGACCACCGTAGGGCGAGGAATGGCAAGCATCAAGAATACTCATTAGCTCCTCTTTCGGAACGCATCTCCGGATCACACTATCATTATGAATCTTGAAAAGATAAGGTTCGTCCCAGTAATAATCCAAGCTATCCGGTTTAAGCTTCTTCCTTTGGTTAGAAGAGAGCTCACACGGGACAATGCCGGTCACAAGAAAGTTAGCCACATCGGCGAACCAAGGCATACTATTCAAATACACGGAGAGGAGTTGTTCATCCGGAAACGAATCATTAATTTCGAGGCCATCATGGGGCCTCCCCTCCTCTTCCAAGTGGGACAAGTGGTCCGCCACTTGGTTTTCACACCCTTTTCGATCAATAATTTCAAGGTCAGACTCCTGAAGCAGTAGAACCCATCTCATCAACCTAGCCTTAGAGTCCTTTTTTGTCATCAAGTAACAGAGTGCCGCGTGATCAGTGTGCACAATCACATTGGTACCCATGAGATATGGCCTGAACTTTTCCATGGCAAAGACAATGGGTAGTAACTCTTTCTCGGTAACAGTATAATTGACTTGGGCGTCATTCATTATTTTGCTTGCATAATAGACCAGATGAAATATCTTGTTGATCCTTTTCCCCAAAACCGCTGCTACCGCAACGTCACTAGCATCGCACATGAGCTCAAATGGTAAGCTCCAATTGGGTGCGGTGATGATGGGAGTGGTAGTCAATCTATACTTGAGAAGCTCAAAAGATTTCATGCAATCATCATTAAACACAAACTTTGCATCCTTTTCCAACAACTTGCACAAGGGATTCACCACTTTTGAGAAGTCTTTGATGAACCTCCGGTAGAACCCCGCATGCCCAAGAAAGCTCCTAACTCCCTTGACAGAAGTAGGAGGAGGGAGTTGTGAAATCACTTCAATCTTCGCTTTGTCCACTTCAATACCATTCTTTCAGATCTTATGGCGGAGGACAATGCCCTCCTCAACCATAAAGTGGCACTTCTCCCAATTAAGTACTAAGTTGGTCTCTTCACATCGGTCCAACACTTTGTCAAGATTTCCCAAACATTCTTCAAAGGAGTCACCCACAACACTAAAATCATCCATGAACACTTCAAGGAAGTCCTCCACCATGTCCTTAAATATAGCCATCATACACTGCTGAAAGGTAGCCGATGCATTACACAAACCAAATGGCATCCGTGAGAATGCAAAGGTTCCATACGGACATGTGAAGGTGGTTTTCTCTTGGTCTTCCGGTGCAATCAAAATCTGGTTGTAACCTGTAGCTAGGAAAGGTCTCCCCAATACGATCGGTACCTCATAGTCAACCTCGCAGTCAAGAATCACAAAATCCGCGGGAAGTATGAACTTGTCGACCCTCACTAACACATCATCAATTATCCACAATGGCCTTTTCATTGTCCTATCCGCCATTTGCAATCTCATGGATGTGGGCCTTGGCTGCCCAATCCCCAATGTCTTAAACACGAATATGGCATCAAGTTAATGCTTGCCCCTAAGTCGCACAAAGCTTTGGCGAAATCGGAACTACCAATAATGCACAGAATTGTAAAAGCACCGGGGTCCTCTAGCTTTGGGGCCATGGAATGTACAATGGCACTCACTTTGTGCGTCATCTTGATCGTTTCACAATTCATGGATCTCTTCTTTGTTACCAAGTCCTTCATAAACTTGGCATATCCTGGCATTTGTTCTAGATCCTCCACCAAAGGTACATTTATCGACAAACTCTTCATCATATCAATAAATTTCTTGAACTGGTTCTCATTGTTCTGCTTTGCAAGCCTCTGAGGGTATGGTGGAGAAGGCCTTGGCAAAGGAGCCTTGTCCTTGGGCACTACTGTTTCCGGTATGTCTATCACGTGTTCCCTAGACGGGTTCACATCATTTTGTGTTTCCTCCACGTTGTCATCAATGTCAATTCTCACTTCTTCATTCACAATATCATCACTTACTTGCACATCATTGCTTTGCTCATCATTCTTTTGCACCAACACATTATCACTCACAACCTTTCTTGCATTAGAGGTATTATCAACACCACCTCTACCACTCCTTGTAGTCACCGCCACAACGTGGCCCATATTGTTCCCTCCCTTCAGGTTTACTACCGTGTCACTAGGTAGTGCCCCCTTAGGGCGAGTGTTCAAAGCTTGCGAAATCTGGCCAAGTTAGAACTCCAAGTTGCGGATAGAAGTATTATGGGACGCCAACTGGGAATCGGAGTCGGTGTTTTTCTTCATCATTTGCTCAAACATTGACTCAATCCTTCCCATCTCATTGTTTGACGAGCTAGGACCTTGAGACGAAAATGGAGGCGGGTTGTTTGGTTGTTGATACATTGGAGGCCTTTGAAAGCCCGGCCCCCGATTCATCTGATTACCGTTATTCCAAACCCCTTGGTTATTGTTGCCTCCCCAATTGCTATTGTTGTTGCCACCCCAGTTGCCCTAGTTACCCTGGTTGCCCCAATTCTGATTGTTGTTCCCCCAGTTTCTTTGGTTGTTGTTCCCACCATTCCAATTTCCTTGTTTGTTTTGATTCCCCCAATTTCCTTGGGATCTCTATTGTTGTTGTTGATTCGGATCATTTCCCCATTGTCCTTAGTAGTTGTTCACATACTGAACCTCTTCACGTTGATCATCATACACATCATCTTGGTTGTAACCACTACCACCCTGCTCAAATTTATCTGGATTTCCTTGACTTTGTTGACCTCTTTGCCGCATCTTGTTGACCATCATATTTACCCCTTCCATGGAATTCACTTGTCTTGGCGCTTGAACTTGTTGCAATTGAGCTTTGGCCAACTGGTTCATTGTTGTAGTTAACTTTGCTATTGCTTGGCCATGGTCATGGAGCTCTTTGTGTAGGTGAATGACATTGGGATCACCTTGTGGCACATTAGCTCGACTTTGCCATGCCGAGGAAGTATCCGCCATCTCATCAAGTATATTACACGCCTCGGCATAAGGTGTGTTCATAAAGTTTCCCCCTTCTAGCTGGCTAACTACACACTGGTTGGTAGTGTTGATGCCATTGTAGAATGTTTGCTGGATCATGGCTTCGGTCATGTCATTGTTCGGACATTCTTTAACCATCGTCCGATACCTTTCCCAAATATCATGAAGCGGTTCATTTGGCTCTTGTTTAAAGGTAAGGATCTCATCTCTCAGCATCGCCATATGCCCCGGTGAGAAGAACTTTGCTATGAATTTTTCGGCCAACTCATCCCAAGTAGTGATGGAATGGTTGGGCAACCTTTCAAGCTAATCCAAAGCCTTCCCCCTTAGAGAGAATAGGAAAAGCCTTAATCCCAACGCGTCCTCAGAAACGTTCGTTTGCTTGCTCTCCCAGCATGTATCAACAAAACCCTTGAGATGCTTATAGGCATTTTGGTGTGGAGCTCCGGTGAAGAAACCCCTCTGTTCCAAGAGTGTAAGCATAACGTTGGTTATTTGGAAGTTGCCCGCCCTAATCCGGGGCGGGACTATTGCACTTGCGTATCCTTCATTGGGCAACGTCCGATGTGCTGCCCTTGCTGGAGGTGGGAGAGGGTTTAGAATATTTTCATGAGGCGGTTGGCCTCTTCTTTGTGCTTGTGGTTCTGGTTGAATCTCATCCACATTATCATCATCTACCTCTTCCCCCAAAGGCAAATTTCCGGGAGCATCATTGTTAGGAGCCATATTGTACCTAAGAGCAATTGGCATCAAGGCAAGAATCAGTGTTTGCAACCACCAATTCTACAATTAAAGCATGAATTAAGCTAAATATCACTAACCCATAAATAATTAAGCCCTAAAATTCATGACCCATTAAATACCCATACTAGGGTTGGGTCACAACCCTAGCTATGGGGTTTAGCTACTCATAATAACAGTAGAAATCAAATATGGAGATGTGTTGATTAGCATGATTCAAGGAGACTTGATTTAGGAGTTTGTATTAGCGTGATTTCAGGAGATTTGATTATATTTAGGAGATCTGGTTTTATTCTGATTTGATTTGATTTGATTTGATAGTTGTATTGATTGTATAGATTTATTTTATTCCCTTAATTAGCATTAGGAGCTTTGTATAAATTCCCTTGCTCATGGGATGTAAAAATACATAGAAATACAAGAAGCCTTTTCTTCTTCTCAAAATCTACATGGTATCAGAGCCATTGCTGCCTTTTTGAGGTGAGTTATCTCCCTCACAGCACTAAGGTTCCCTTTTTACCAAAGAGGTCGAGTTTTCTCTCTCTTGTTGGTTGTCCGCACCACAAACTCCTTCTGATTTCCTTCTGATTGGGCTGAAACATGGAGACATTCAAGGAGACGGTTTCTGGAGAAATTCAGATGAAATTCAGCTTCTCCGTCGCCTCCTAGCCAAACTTGACTTCGCTAATATTGTCAAATCCAATCATGTGCAATCAGGTACTGCCTTTGCTGATAACCTTAATTCTTGGATTGTCGATTCTGGTGCAAATAGACATATGACAGGCTTTTCTAAATGCATTCAAAACTATTCTCCGTCTCCCAAAAGAGATAATGTTAAAATAGCCAATGGTTCTTTAACACCCATCTTTGGAACAGGTTCTGTCATTTGTACTCCTGATATTAAACTATCATCCGTGCTCTATGTCCCTGAGTTCCCTATCAATCTTTTATCTGTTAGTGCCATCACCAAAGCTCTAAACTGTAAAATCGAGTTCTTTCCCGATCATTGTATTTTTCAGGATCTTCAAACAGGGAAAAGGATTGGCAGTGGTAGATTGCGTGATGACTTATATATATTAGATATGATTCAAAACTCTGGTCAAGCCTTCCTTAGGGAAAGTAAGGATGTCAACCAAGAAATAATACAACGGCATAGACGGTTAGGACACCAATCATTCTTTGTTTTGAGGAAGTTATATCCCGATTTATTTTCAAGGACTCGATTTGAATCTTTTTTCTGTGATGCATGTGAATATGCCAAGCATACTAGAAACTCTTATCCTGTGAGTGATAATAGAAGCACAACTCCGTTTATGACTATTCATTCTGATGTGTGGGGTCCTACCCAAACTGTTTCTTTGTTTGGTAATCGATGGTTTATTACTTTCATTGATTGCTGCACTCGGATGACTTGGGTATATTTGTTAAAAGGCAAAAGTGAAGTTTTCTCTTATTTTTAGTCATTTCATAAGATGATTTGCACTCAGTTTGATGCCAAAATAAAATTTTGAGAACTGACAATGGCAGCGAATACATGGATAAAAGATTTGGTGCTTATTTGGAGTCCAATGGGATAGTCCATCAGACTAGTTGTCCTTACACTAGTGCACAAAATGGGGTTGCTGAAAGAAAAAATAGGCATATGTCAGAAGTAGCAAGACCTCTTATGTTCACCATGCATCTACCAAAACCTTACTGGGGGGATGTTATTCTAGCGGCTGCCTATCTTATCAACAGAATGCCACTTAAACCCCTCAATTTTCAAAGTCCTATGGAAGTTTTAAAGGGTAAGAATGAATATACTGTTCCTCCAAAGGTGTTTGGGTGCGTTTGCTTTGTCCACACTAGAAATTCTAGGAAACTTGATCCTAGAGCTATAAAGTGTGTTTTCATTGGGTATTCTCCGACACAGAAAGGTTAAAAATATTATCATCCTCCCTCTAGGAGATCTTTTGTTAGCATAGATGTTACCTTTTGAGAATCTGAGCCCTATTTCAGTATGACCTCATCACCTTTTCAGGGGGAGAACAGTAAGGAGGAAGAGGTGATTCTACCTAGTTCCATTACTGGACCTCTTGATGACATTGTCATAGGGGAAAGTGAAATTGAAGAAAGAATTAAGGGGGAGACTATTGGACGTTTGGATAGGCCTGATTTGAAAACTTACTCAAGGAAAAATAGAGCAGAAGAAGCCATCATGCAATCTACCGAAGCTGAACCTTCTTCTACTGGTGAGTTATCTACATTTCCTAATGAGTTAGATGAACCAATTGCTCTCAGAAAAGGAGTCAGATCTTGCACCACCAAACACCCTTTATCCAATTTTGTCTCCTATAATTCTTTGTCTCCCTCCTATAGAGCCTTTGCCTTGTCTATTTCTTCTGTGTCTATTCCCCAAAATTGGAGGGAAGCTTTTACAGATCCTAAATGGAAGCAAGCTATGATTGAAGAAATGAAGGCCTTGTAAAAAAATGAGACATGGGAACTTGTCTCTTCACCACCAGACAAGAAGTTGGTTGGCTGCAAATGGGTCTTTACTGTGAAGCACAAAGCTGATGGCTCAATTGAAAGATTCAAAGCAAGATTGGTGGCTAAGGGATTTACTCAGACTTATGGAGTGGATTATCAAGAGACATTTGCCCCTGTTGCTAAGATGAACAGTGTTAGAATTCTTTTATCTTGTGCAGCTAATCTTGATTGGGACTTGCAAAGGTTTGATGTGAAGAATGCAATTCTTCATGGAGACTTAGAAGAAGAGGTATATATGGAGATTCCTCCTGGATTTGATACTGCACAGAGTCAAGGAAAGGTATGCAGATTGAAGAAAGCCATATACGGACTGAAGCAATCCCCCAGAGCTTGGTTTGATAGATTCAGCAAAGCAATGATCTCCTTCGGTTACCAACAAAGCAATGCTGATCACACCCTCTTCATAAGACATCAAACGGGTAAACTCAGTCTTTTCATAGTTTATGTTGATGACATAGTAATGACAGGAGATGACAAAGAGGAGATGTCTCGATTGAAGAAGTTGTTGGCACATGAATTTGAGATCAAAGATCTAGGAAAATTGTAGTACTTCTTGGGAATTGAGGTTGCTAGATCCAAAAGAGGAATCTTTATTTCTCAAAGGAAGTATATTCTGGATCTCTTGAAAGAAACCGGTATGACAGGTTGCAGACCCGCAAAATCGCCCATTTAAAGCAATCACAAGTTACAAAGCGGAGTTGGAGAATCCGTCGATAAGGAGAGATATAAGAGGCTGGTTGGAAGACTCATTTATCTCTCTCACACTAGACCAGACATAGCCTATTTAGTTAGCCTGGTGAGTCAGTTCATGCATGACCCTCGAGATCCTCATATGCAAGCTGTCTTTCACATTTTGCGGTATATGAAGTCTGCTCCAAGAAAAGGTCTACTTTTCTCCAAACATGATCACCTCCAAATAGAAGCCTTTATAGATGCAGATTGGTATGGATCTCTAGATGACAGAAGATCAACATCTGGTTACTGTACGCTCGTAGGAGGAAACTTGGTTACTTGGAGAAGCAAGAAGCAAAGTGTAGTTCCTAGATCAAGTGTGGATGCAGAATATAGAGCTATGGCCCAGGGTGTTTGCGAACTGCTTTGGCTACAAAAGCAACTACATGAATTGAGACTATATGAAAAAGGAAAACTTTCCTTGTACCGTGACACTAAAGCTGCCATCAGTATAGCTCATAATCCAGTCCAGCATGACCGAACAAAGCATGTGGAAAATTGATCGACACTTCATCAAAGAAAAAGTTACAACTGGTGTCTTGAGTTTGTTTCATGTGCCATCGAAAAAATAGCTAACTGATGTGTTTACCAAAGGTCTCAACAAGCGAACTTTCCATTCTTTGAGTTGCAAGTTGGGCATGTGCGACATCTTTGCACCAACTTGAGGGGGAGTGTTGATTAGCATGATTCAAGGAGACTTGATTTAGGAGTGTTGATTAGCATGATTTCAGGAGATTTGATTATATTTAGGAGATCTGATTTTATTCTGATTTGATTTGATTTGATTTGATTTGATAGCTGTATTGATTTGTTTTATTTTCTTAATTAGCATTAGGAGCTTTGTATATATTCCCTTGCTCATGGGATGTAAAAATACACAGAAATACAAGAAGCCTTTTCTTCTTCTCAAAATCTACAAGATGAAATATAAGCCATTATTCAAATACAAGATAAAAATCTAAAGATTGAAGACAAATCTACTCTAAGATTACTCAAAAAGGTAAAAACCAGCCGTTCACGTGCTCAGCAAAATATTACATACCCTAAAAATGTGAAAAAGATCTATTTATACTAGGCTGAAATTCCTAGACAAAAATACCCCTGCGGAAGTTTTGCGGAGGCGTAATTCCGACCGCGTCCGTGCTTGAGCTCTTGCGGCCGCGCAATAGCGAGCGCGGTCCGTGTTTCTTCAATTATGGGCTTGGGTTGGACTTGGTTTCGCGAACAGCATAATTTCATCCGTGTTCGCGTGTGCTTCCATCGCGGCCGCGTAATTTGGACGCGGACCGCTTTCTTCTATTAAGCATGACTTGCAGGGTCTCTGAACTTCAATCACCGCTCTCAGCGAAAATACCATCGCGGCCGCGTCAGATATTTCGCGGCCGCACTTTTCCATTGTGGTCAGCGGTAGAAATTGTGCTCAGATTAGCCTCTCTGAACTTTACTTTCGCACGTCGCGTATTTGTGGATGCCTCAGCGGTGGTCCTCACGTGGCCGCGTATTTTGTCCGCTCTCCACGCTCTAGTTCCCAGCTTTGGTTTTGTGCAAGTTTAACTCCTTCATGAGTTGATTATGACTTCTTTGCCTCATTTTGACCAAAACCTGCAAGCAAGCACACTAAGTCAGTTTTCGGGAATACCTTTACGCATTTTCGATCCAAAACCTAAGTAAAAGAGAGCACATAATAGGTTAAAACCCATAGTTATCAGCGATCGTAATTGTTTTTAGCTCGATTACTCAAAAATTTCCTGAGATGGTCATTTTTCAGCAATTCTCCACCTCTTCGTGTAGATGCCGGTAGTCCCTAGTCCGATGACGGTTTGTTCCGTGGTATTCGCACCACAAATTAGAATCCCTTTGGCTGGGATCGGATCTGATTGGCTTTGGGAACTGTTCTTCTTTAATGTTCCTCATTACCGACACCAGCTCTGCTATGCTAACGTTGAAGTTGTATCCGAAAATTCTGGGGCAGGAAGAATCTTGAGAACCTGACGTTTCCTTGTCCTGAAATGACCTGTTATTTCGGCTTCGATCAGTTCTCCTATCAGTAGTGAATCTATCCGCCGACCAGAAACCTCTGCCGCGTCCTTCATCCCGTTTATAAGGCAAAAATTGACCCCTTGAAGACCGTTGATATGTGTCGAAATCATCCTTCTATTTCTCTTTATTTTTCTCCTGGTACCGACCCTTGGCCGATGCTGGAAAACCGAGTTGATCATCCTCAATCCTTATCTTTGACTCGTACTAGTTCTGAACATCCACCCAAGTTATTGCTTGGAACTCAAGCAAACTATCTTTCAACTTCTGGGAAACGTCGAAACTTCTCGAATTCAGACCTTTTGGGGAATGCTTCAGCTGCCCATTCGTCCGGTACGCCCAGTAGCAACATCCTTTCCTTCTGGAATCTGGTCATAAACTCCCACAGCAACTCGGATTCTCTTTGTGCAATCCTGAATATGTCGGCCTTTCGGGCCCCGGCATGGGCCTTGATGAAAAAGTCCGCGAGCATCTTAAAGGAGTCTATGGAGTGCTCAAGCAAAAGCGAATACCATGTCAGGGCTCCATTCGTAAGAGTCTCCTCGAACTTTTTTAGTAAGACTGACTCAATATCGTGGGGAGCTAAATCATTTCCCTTCACCGCTGTTGTATAGGTGGTGATGTGCTCCTGAGGATCTGAAGTCCCATCATACTTCGGCACGTCTGGCATTTTAAACCGCTTCGGGATCAATTCTGGTGTCGCGCTTGGTTTGAATGGCAGTTGTGTGTAATTCTTTGAGTCCGGCCCTTTCGGCACTGGTGGTGCGCCTGGAATTTGATTCATTCGGGCGTTTATTTCCCTCATAAACCGCATAAGTTTGGTTTTAAATGGATCATTCTCTTTGTTGTTACCGGGTCCGCCACCGTTCCCCTCAGCCCTATCAAAGCCGACTTCGCCCCTCGGTGTTGTAGTTATCGACCCTCTGCGTTGTTTGATTTGTAGGAGCACAGGGAGGAACTGCACCTTGTCCATTCGCATTGTTGGAAACAACCGACAACACTCGTTTTAATTATGTCATAACTTGATCCTGCCGCGAGAGATGAACCATTGCCCTTTGTTGTTCCCTCGGGATCCTTACTGTTTCAACGACGTGCTCATCTTCAGCATCGTCAGGAGTTGCCTCCCGAACATGTGTGGATATTTTCGTCCGTGAACCGGCGTGGCCTCGTTCCCCTCGTTGCGGGTATCACTGATGGAATCTTCGTGCGGAGGCTAATTTCCTTGGGCCTCAACGTTGTGTGTGGTTCTGACGCTGTTATCTGCCATTTTTAATGACTTTTGCTAAGAACAAAGAATCAAAAAATTAGTAATAGATGAAGGGATCAATTCAATTACACGACTGTCTATGCCCCATGGTAGGCGCCAAACTGTTTAGCCGTAAATCGATACAGTTAAATTTATACATGATTTATAGACAAGTAAATTAATCTGATCCTAAGATGATAAATAAATTAGATAAAAGTATAATACTTAGCCTTGAGTTGGAGATAAAATAACAGAAAACGTAATTCCGACTGCAGGGCTTTCGGAGGCAGTAAGAACAATATAAATAAGCAAGAAAGTAAAATATTATTGAGCTTTTGATAGAATATGGTGTATACTTGTCAGGAAATTTGTTGCGTTTACAATGATGGTAGAGCTCACTATTTATGGTTACACCTAGGGAACAAGGTCCTAGAATCAAGCCCCTCTTAAATGACAATTATGATGGCCATTGAAGAATGTATAATGGTAGGCAGTGAATGCCATTTTCTCTGTAACAGACCATGCACTTAATGCTATAGAATATTATTAATTGAATGCTACCGAGTGACAAGCATTTATTTTCCCTTAATGAATATCATACTTTCCGATGGCAAGCGAGATCATTGACTCTGGGCTCGGCTGTCTTCTATCTTCGGCTCCACATGTCGCTTTCTCATGCGATTATAAAATATGAACATATTTTAGTCTATGCAATAGTCTAGCCTGTCTTCTTCTTTAGGTCGCTTGTTTCACTCTGATAGTAGTATTGATCGTGTCAATGCAGAGGAAATAGACAACCCGAGCTTCGACGACACCAGCATTAGTGGCGTGGAAATGACTCGTTGACATAGCTGACAAGATGGTGCCAATTCAGCCCCTTAGTCCGGAACCTAATCCAGATGCCTTAACCTCCTTATTTGCATACTATTTAATCTTATAAGTGAACTAGATAAAACAAAATCAAGATTACTAGTACAGAGCAGCTCGTTGAGCTTATTAGACTTCTAAGGGGTTGATAGGTTGGGAAACAAGTTATCTCAAGATTAATTATTTTGGGATTAATTATCCCAAGAATGTTATTCTACTCTCCCATACGAATAAAATAATATTACAATTCCAAAATAACTAATTTCGAGATTAATTATACCGTGATTTTATTCCAACCAAACATGGAATATACTCATCTCAAATTTAATCCAGAAATTAATTATTCCTTATCCCTTGTACCAAACAAACCTAAAAGCTAACAGATCAATCAGAAGTAAGGTGGTTAATTAACAAGATCTGTCTCCGAGGGAAGAATTAGTGTCGGGTGGTCTAGCAATATAGTTATATTATAGTTGTGGATTCATCCGAATTTTTACCTATATATATATATATATATATATATATATATATATATATATATATATATAGTGCGATTAGGGTGGCCATTAAAGCGATTGCTTTGGGAAGTTGATGGCCTCTAAATTGTTTATTTTACCATATTATTATACATATTATAATTTTATTAACAAAAGAGATTAAATTTTATACTTATTTTTTGGAATGCGATTGAAGTTATTTAGATAAATAATAAAATTCTATAACTAACATGCAATATATGAAAATAAATAACTTGATGACGCCTTTAATAATAAAAAAATGATGTCTCTTGTAATATCTTTGGAGTTAATTATTTCTTATAAAAGAGCGGATAAAGCTATTTTTTAACATCAAAATAGATCCATAGACTTGAGTTATTCCAAAGGTATGAAATTATTTTCATATCCACTTAATGCATGGTATAAAATTGAAATGATTAGATTATAAGAATTTATGAGAGCACATTCTTAACCGTCAATATATATCTGTTTTAAATTATTATATAAGCCTTAATGAGTTAAATTAACAAATATCTCCAATGGTGAGAGCTAGCAGTAACTGAGAAGATACGCTTTTAGCCACCGTTTTCGTTTTATAAATTATTCCCTCCGTTTCATGAATAACGCCTTTCTAAATTTAAAAATAATCTAAAAATAATTTAACTTAAATTTTTAGTTCTACCCTTCGTGAAAAGCTTTTATAATCACACAATAATTTTCAATTCTACTCTTAGTGAGAAACTTTTAATTTTTATAATCACACAAATACTCCGAGAACCCCTTCTGACATGTTTAGAATTATTTTTTTCTTGAATCCGCGTAACGGTACTCCCAGGTTCTGAAACGGTACTTCCAGTCAATTGGGTTAGAGTTATTGAGTTCAAACTTGGCTTTAGTACGATAAAACTTGACCAAATAAATACAAATCTTCGATATTGAATTTGATCCATTTAGGTTTAGTATGTTAAAAGATTTACTAAATAATATAATAACAATAATAATTTCTAACCTAGTAAATTCAAATGAATTGTGATAGAAGTCGACGATTAATATATACTTCCTCCGTTAGTGGCACGACTTTTCACGCCTCATGCCCCTCACTTTTAGATGGGGTATTTTGACTTTTTACACGAAGTGCTAATATGATACCCATATCAATTAATATATATTTTATTGAATTTAAAAAATAATTTAAAATAAGTAATAAATACGGTAGGTATAACAGAAAATAAAATTATGTGACAAATAAAAATAAATAAAAATCTATTTTTAATATAGATTCCAAATAAAAGTGAATGGAGGGTATGTCCTATTTGCCGCCTCTGACGCGAGAACCTTTCGAACATTTTTAGCTCGAGACACGTGATTATATATTGTGTCCTACACGCCACCATGACCTAAAAATGAACACTGTTTGCCAGACATAAGGGACTATGTATTTGCGTAGTTAAATTTGTTAGAGACTTAACCAGATAATTAAGCATTAAAGTTTCTTGAATAACCAGCCTAATTACAACATCAGCTCCATTTATTTCGGCCGTCGGAATTAACAAGAGACTATTACAATAATGCGGACTCGCTGAAGACAAAGAGCCCTTTAGCAACATAAACAAGTAATTTAACAAACTTCTCCAACAGAATACAAGAAGAAAGATACAGCATGGAATAAACTAATGAAATTTATGTAAACTAATACAGCAGCACCATGATCCCCAACTTCAGTAGATTACACCATATAAACACAAAGATACCTCAACCCTGCTGGGTCCCAGTGACATGTTGCTGCCCAAACTCCTGAGCCCTGTCTTTCATCTCCCCAGCCTTAGTAGCCAACCTGTTCCTTGCATGCTCCAGCTGGTCCGCACCGGGCGGGCGCTTTCCGGTCACGTACCTATAAATCCACGACAATACGCTTATTGCCGCAACCCCAAATCCGCCCGAAGCCAAGAACCCTGAGACCAACATGAAAATAGTAATAACAGCAGGAACAATCACTGGGCTAAAAATCACAAGCAAAGGGGTGGCAACAGTAAGCGCAATCACCGTTCCGGCTAAAGTTAGGCCGGAAAGAACAAGAAGTGAGCTGCCAGCAGTGACAGCAGTAGCAGCCTTCACCATCTGGTGAGATCTAGGCTGTTGCACTGGATTGAGCTGCTGGTGCTGAGTATGTTGCTGCCCATAGTAATCTGCCATACTTGATGAATTTGTAGAAAATTTTCAGAATCTTTTTCTTCCCAAATGGAGGTGAATTGAATGTGGGGATTGTGAGGTTTACCGAGTTTGGATTATATAGAAGGGAAAGGTAAGGAGAGAAGGGGGCACGTGTTTTAGGAAGCGATGTTAAGTGTTATAAGGGCGAAACATGCGGCGATTGCATGCAATGAGAATGCGTGTTTATGAGACACGTACAATTGTTGTTCTATTTGTAGTCTTGTGTACTTGTAACCGTTGGGGAACTTGTGAAATGGACAAAACCATCCAAAAGACAAGGCACTTTGTAAGAATAGTAAATAAACTTGTTATATTTTTCGCACTTCTTTTCTGCTTTTCGGGTTCTTTATTCTATGGTAAAATATATTCGTTTTCGCTCAAATTTAAAAGTGTGATAAAACAATAAAAGGAGAGAAAAAGTATTGCTCAGAAAAGTAGAGAGAGAACTCTTATTGATTTTAAATGATTTATAATGGAATAGAATCTTTTTTTATAGGGAAAAAATGACACAGCCACAAAGTAACAAACCCTAAAATTTCTTTAAAATATAGACATTTACGTTAAATACAATTCTATTTATAACACTCCCCCTTGAATATTTATTCGACAGGTAACGTGTCTCGTTAAAACATTAACTAAAATAAAACCCAGAAAAAAATTCTAGAGAAGGAAAAAAGCACACATATTTACAAAAATTTTTTTGGTTGCCTCGTTAAAAACCTTGCAAGGAAAACCTAGTGGGACAAAACCTTATAAGGGGAAAAGAGTACAACGCATATTAATTCCCCCTGATGAGAGCATCAATTCACATCTTTGAGCCTTCGTATCCCAATCTTGTACACTAGTTTCTTGAAGGTTAACGTTTGTAGAGATTTGGTGAGCAAATCAGCCATATTAACTTGAATGAATATGTTGCACATTGAAATCATCATTCTTGATATATATGTAATATCTTCATATAATATCGTGGAATGGCCTTTTCAATATCCTCATAGAGGTTAAAATTCTCGCTATCACATTATTATGCTTATAGTTATAGCAAGATACATATGTGCACAAATTGCACTTAGGATGTGGTACTTCGGGATCAAGAATTGTAGATGCTTTAAGTAATTTAAATCCTTCAGGGATTGTCATATAAGCAATACAAATAGACTTTAGATGCATATCAAGTGTTCATGTCATGCTAAACATATAAGATAGATAAAAGTGATTGCACACACCATTGCCTTTATACTTTCAAGTGTTGAACTGCAGGTCCAAAACTACATGTCTTTAATTCATATGAAACCAATTCTACTTGAATTGTTTCTCCAGATTTAGGATGCTCATATATATATATATTTAGCATCATCACAAATGTAATTGACAAACATTTTATATCGGTTCCTCCTTTCTTTCATAAATACATAACATAGAGATCTCTTCATTCATATTTTTAGGTACTTGAACCTCTCCTAAAATTTTATGAAGTGTTATGTCATGTGATCTTCTAGATCACTTGCCTCCTTATGATCATTTACTCATCTTCTTTATCAAGAATTTTATTTGAAATCGATTTGTCTATATGCTTTAAGTATACCATAGACTTTGTCCTTCTAGGACTTATTCTAATATAAGCATTTGTAGTGAGAATATAGTAACTTCCTTTGGGTCATCAAATGCGTCTGGCATGCTTTGCAATATATTGCAGATGAATTATTTTTTATGAACTTTAAGTTCATATTATCTTATTCGAGGATCTAGATGTACAAATGATAATTCACTCCACATAATTTTTTCTCAACTGTTTATCCCATCTTCTCCTCATGTTAGAAAACTAACTTGCTTCCTCAACTTTGAAAACCCACCTTTGTGCGTTATGGTGTTAATCAAAATATACACAACATATCAATAATAATAAGATGGACTTATTTGGTTCCTAACCTTGAACCACTTGTGAATGAAGAATGTAATATACTTTCGTATATAACGTATATCAAACTGATATAGATAACTTTGTTCTCATAAGCAATAGTTTAACTATTAAGTGGAGGTACTCAATAAATTATTTTGCTAAACCAGTTGTGATGTAAACTAACTTATCAAGATGAACTATCATGAATAGAAAATATGAAAATTATGCTCGAAATTAAATTATTGAGCAAGTTATCTCGCAAACACCAGGTTGTAGGTTAATAATAAACGCACATATAACATCTCATAGATGCATCTTATGTGGTATAAATGGCAGGTGATGGGCTCGTATTCACCTATGATATTTCCAGCATTTATGGGATTCAATCCCAATTTTAGTTGGTCTATTAATCAATGAGAACAAGTAACATAAGAGAATTCGTAAAGAACATTCTGGTTCTTTGATATTTACCCATGTGAATTCTCTTTTATTTTTGCACATCATACTTTAATTAATATGGCTAAACCAATTATGCCAACTGGATAAGTTATCAATATTGATAAACTTCAGATTTACATCATGACGCGTGCAATTATCAATAAACTCCACGTTTCTTATGATATGAATTTTATCAATAAACTTCTACTTTATAGTGGCATTCTTTTATTTGTATGTACAAACTAGAGAAGAAAGCAGGTAGCTTCTCACATACATATTACCCTGCTACAAGTTGTAGTAATAGAAGATATTAAATCTTTTCTTTATTTATAGTCTCAATATAACCAACTGCTTTTGCGAACACTTTACAAACTCAATAAGTTTCTTTGAGACTTGCTACGTTATGTTTTATAATTCAATGCCACACAAGAGGGGGGATGATTTGTGTGGTGTCCAATTTTTTGCATGCACAGATTATAGAAGGACCAGGTTCTTCTATGTGTTCCTTATACTACTGTTGCAGAAATAGTAAATGTCACAATCCAAAATCCAACTAGTCGTGATAGAACCTAACCCAACCCGCTAGCTAAGCCAATTAACCTTTTTCCAATTCCTATGAAATTCAATAAGACAATTAAGTAAAAGAAAATATCTGAATCTTATACATTTCCCAAGGACTGGTAGTACAAATCATGAGCTTCTAAGATTAGAATTTACAAAGCTGGTATGAAATAAATACATTATCTGTTTTGAAATTTACATAAACAGATTTCTATAAATCTAAGGCTACCATGAACAAGAGGCAGCTACATCCGGAACGCAGCTACATCTTCAATTTCAGCTCCCGTCAAACACAGCAACATCAGCATCCAACATTTGCACGCAAGGTGCAGAAGTGTAATATGAGTACAACCGACCCCATGTACTCGATAAGTAACAAACTTAACGTTAGGTTGAAGGTAGTGACGAGCTGGAATAAAGCTCGGAGTCCAACACCAAATAGACAACAACAGTTCATAACAACATAATGAAAATAATAGAAGAAGTAACTCAGAGATAAAATGCTCAGCTCGTTCACAGTTCCAGAAAAATAGGCTTGTTTTTCAAGTATATCAGTGAAAACCTAAATCTTTTACCGAAATCGCCAAAAATATGAGTAAGTTTGAAAACTGTAATTTTTCCCAAAAAGCTTTCGACAGGTAAATGTTTCATTTTCAAATGGCATGAGGAAAATATTTCTCTATGCCTATATGTCAATATGTGTGAGAAGTCATGAATGACGTGATACCGTACAACATGTGGAAAATGCATCTCTATGCCTGTATGTCATATGTGCATGTCAATTCAATGTATCTCAGAGAAGAACTCATATACTCACACTCTCAGAGTACTCAATCTCACTGTCTCACACTTTCCACTAATCATGCTCAACCACTCGACATGCTCAGTCACTTAATACTGTATATGGCTAATCCAGCCCAGGGAAGATCCATCCCGAATATATACACAGCAACTGACAGTCAGTCGCTCAGTATTGTATAAGGCCAATGCAGCCCGGGGAAGATATATCCCCAAATATAAATGCTTCGGGCAAGATCCATGCCCAGGGAAGATCCATCCCTCAATATAAATCAATCGCGCTCACTAGGGGTGTGTGCAGACTCCGGAGGGGCTCCTTCAGCCCAAGCGTCACAATAAGCCAGATCTAGGCATAAATCAATATAACATGTTGCGGCGTGCAGCCCAATCCCATAATATCACTCACACTCAGGCCCGCGGCCTGACTCAGTCATCAATCTCTCCAGTCTCTCAGGCTCATAATGCCATGAAACTAGCCCAAAATGATGATATGATGTGTCAATAAATAACAACAAAGAGTGAGATATGATATGAAATGAATGAACATGACTGAGTATGAAATTACAATTTAAACAAGTAATTCAACAGCAGTATGACTTCAGTGGGTCCCAACAGAATAAGCATGAAGCCTAGACATGGTTTCTAACATGGATCACGGCTCAATAGCTCTAGTCCGTAGAGATTTCATGGTTACAGATTGTCACGACCCAATTTCTCCCTCCGTGAGTTGTCGTGACGACACCTAGTCTCTACGACTAGGTAAGCCTAACACTTTGCGGAAATGAAATAAAAGCATGAACATTAACTACTAACAGTGACAAATATCTAATAAGCAACTGAATGCCACTCGGCATCTACAATTATCACCTCGGAAATGTACTAAACAATTCCCAACACCCGGAATACCGTAAGTCACAAGCTAATAAGAAGTCTTAACTGTTCTATACATCATTTCTACAAAAAGAAGGAAAAATGAACATGGGGGGGGGGAGGGGGGNGGGGGATAGAGGGGGACTTCGAGGATCTGCGGGCGCGGGCAGATGTACCTTGAAGTCTCCAATAAGCAGCAGCGACTGCAACTAGTGATGAGGCTGGTAAGATGAACCCGGATCTGCACAGGAAAAATATGTGCAGGAAAGGGCATGAGTACACCACAAAGATACCCAGTAAGTGCCAAGCCTAACCTCGATCGAGTAGTGACGAGATCAGGACAGGGCCGTACTAGTATAAATATAATGAAATAAGATAGAATGAAATATCACAGTAAAAATAAATATGGAAATCTAACAGGAATAGAATCAACGAAAGACAACAGCTCAGAAAACGGTGATAACAACAGGGGATCTCCCAGGATACCGTCCCGTAGTCCCAAAATAAATATGCAGT